GTCATCATAGCTATTCAAAGACAAAAACACATTTAAACAAACTCTATTCACAAGTCCAGCCCTACAGAAAATACCAAAAGGAAAACTTCAACTCAAGGAGGTTATCTACATTCAAGAAAACACAGGACATAAATAATTCCATACCAGCAAAGGGCAATATAAGGGAAACACGCAAGTACACACACACTAACACCACCAACATCAAAATAACAGGAGTTAACAATCATCGGTTATTCGTATCTTTCAACATCAGTGGACTCAAATTACCCAATAAAAAGACATAGGCTAAGAGAATGGATGCAAAAACAAGATCCATCATTCTGCTGCCTAAAAGAAACATAACTCAATGTTGCGGGAAATATTTAAAAATGGTGTTCAGGCTACACCAGCACCTCTTGGCGGGCTGGCTGGCCTGTTCTCATTTCATGGAGACTCTCTGACTCAGAGCTCGGAAATTTCTCCACTCAGCTAGCTAAATTCCCACTGGCCAGCTCATGGTTCAAAATTCCCATGGCCGCCCTACCTTTCTCTCTGGAACCCAGTAGCGTCGCTGCATGAAGGAAAACACCACACAAACTTAGTTCAGAATCAATCGCTGGGCACATCAACATCCAAATTATAAGACATACTAAGTTAAATCCTCTGGTAGCAGATCCAGACGGATCCGCCACCTGAAACCGGGTCTCCGCTATCTACATCTTCACCTCCTACTGTCCCTGTCCAAAAACCCCTTATCACTCTCCTGCCTCTTCACTCTGTCCCGGTAGTCCTGCCTATTCACCCAGTGACTAGTTTCTTTATTCATTAGAAGGGTCACAAGAAGTCCAGAGTGCTTGATTCACACCTCATCCCAGGCAGACTCTCCAGGGGAATCTGAATTAGCATCAAAATACAAACAGCTCCAGGACTATCCACAATACCCCAACAGCAAAGATAAGATACTACCTCAGAATAAAGGGCCATTTCCAAGCAAATGGATCCAAGAAACAAGCTAGAGTAAACATTCTAATATTATATAAAAAAGACTTTCAGCAAAAATTAATCAGGAGAGATGGAGAAGGACACTTCATACTTATCAAATGAAAAATTCACCAAGATGACTTCTCAATTCTAAACATCTATGCCACAAATGCAAGGGCACCCACATTCATAAAAGAAACATTACTAAAGCTTAAATCACACATTGAACCTCACACATTAATAGTGGGAGACTTCATCACCCACTCTCACCAATGGACAGGTGACTGAGACAGAAACTAAACAGAGTAATAATGAAATTAACTGGTATTATAAATCAAATGGACCTAACAGATATTGACAGAACATTTCACCCAAACATAAAAGAATATACCTTCCTTCCTCTTAGCACCACATGGAACCTTTTACAAATCTGAGCATATAGTCAGTCACAAGCAAGCCTTAACAGATACAAGAAAATTGAAATAACTCCTTGTATCCTGTCAGATCACCATAGATTAAAGCTGGACTTCAACAACAACAGAAAGTCTACAAACGCTTGCAAACTGAACAATTCTTTACTTAATGATCACTGGGTAAGGGAAGAAATAAGCAAAGAAATTAAAGGCTTTCTAGAATTCAATGAAAATGAAGGCATAATATATCCAAACTTATAGGACACAATGAAAGCAGTGCTAAGAGAAAAGTACATAGCACTAAGTGCCTTTATAGACATATTGGAGATTTTTTATACTAGCAATTTAAAAGTACATCTGAAAGCTCTTGAAAAAAAAAAGTAAACACATCCAAGAGGAGTAGATGGCTGAAATCAATCAGAAACAATGAGAACAATATAAAAAATAAATGAATGGCTGGGCGGTGGTGGCACACGCCTTTAATCCCAGCACTTGGGAGGCAGAGGCAGGCGGATTTCTGAGTTCAAGGCCAGCCTGGTCTACCGAGTGAGTTCCAGGACAGCCAGGGCTAAACAGAGAAACCCTGTCTCGAAAAACAAAAACAAAACAAAAAGAAAAAAATTAATAGATTAATTAATTAATTAATTAAACAAACCAAGAAATAGTTCTTAGAGAAAATCAGTAATATAGACAAACCCTTAGCCAAACTAACTACAAGACAGAGACAGTATCCAAATTAACAAAATTAGAAATGCAAAAGAAGACATAACAACAGACACTAAGGAAATTAAAAGAATATTAGGTCTTACTTCAAAAGTGTTTACTCCACAAAATTGGAAAATCTAAAGGAAATGGATAATTTTCTAGTCAGATACCTCTTACCAAAGTTAAATCAAGAGCTGGAAAACTATATAAATAGTCCTTCAAGCAGTTATTAAATGCGTTCCAAACAAAAAAAGCCTAGGACCAGCTGGTTTTGAAGGACCCTCAGGGCTTTTTCCAGTCCCACATCCTCCTTAAAGCTTCCCTCTCCTGCTTGGGGTCAAGGGTAGGCCAAGTTCCATTCTCCACCCACAAGAACATTCTTGAGTGAAAAATTCTAAGAATGTACTAATAGTCACCTGGAAAGTCCCAGGTATAGTTCAATGTGTGCCATGCTTGCTAGCCAATAGATTTAGAGGTCAATATGCTTAGCCAATAAGTTTGAACTGTAACCTTGCTGATGTAATCTGTGCCCCTAAAAAGTATAAAGACTGCTTGTAATAGCCATTTGGGGCTGCATTCTAGTAACTCGCCTTGAGGGACTAATTGAAGGTCAACTCAGCGTGCTGGAAAATAAACCTCTTGTTTTTGCATCAATCTGCATCTCAGAATCTCACTGGGGACATCTTGTGAAGTAAGTACCACTGGCCAAGGGTAGAGGTCCTACAGTTTTAGTGCAGAATTCTACCAGATTTTCAAAGAAGATCTAAAATCAATACTCCTCAAACTATTCCACAAAATAGAAACAGAAGAAACACTGCCAAAATCATTCTATGAGGCCACGGTCACCCTGGTAACTAAATCACACAAAGACTTAACGAAGAGAGAGAACTTCAGACTGATTTTACTTATGAACATTGATGCAAAAGTATGTAATAAAATATTTGCAAACTGAATCCAAGAACACATCAACAACATCATCAGCCTAGATCAAATAGGCTTCATCCCAGGGATGCAAGGATGGTTCCATATATGAAAATCCATCAATGTAATCCACCATGTAAACAAACTGAAAGAAAATCACATGATCATCTCATTAGATGCTGAAAAACCCTTTGACAAAATCCAGTACCCCTTCATGTTAAAAGTGTTGGAGATATCAGGGATACAAAGCCCATATCTAAATAAAATAAAAGCAATATACAGCAAGCCAATAACCAACATTAAATTAAATGGAGAGAAAATCAAATCAATTCTACTAAATTCAGAGGCAAGACAAGGCTACCCACTCTCTCCCTATCTACTCAACATAGTACTTGAAGATCTAGTTATAGCAATAAAACAACTAAAGGAGAACAAGGGGATGTAAATTGGAAAGGTAGAAGTCAAAGTATGACTATTTGCAGATGATATGAGCATATAAATATCCCCCCAAATTATACCAGAGAATTTCTACAGCTGATAAACACCTTCTTTGAAGTGGCTGGATACAATTAACTTAAAAAAAAATCAATAGACCTCCTTTATATTAATAATAATCAGGCTGAGAAAGAAATAAGGGAAATAATACCCTTCCCAGCAGCCACAAATAATATAAAATATCTCGTGTAACTCTAACCAAGCAAGTGAAAGACCTGTATGAAAAGAACATCAAGTCTCTGAAGAAAAAAACTGAAGAAGGTATCAGAAGATGGAAAGATCTCCCATGCTCATGGATTGGTAGGATTAACATAGTGAAAACTGTCATATTACCAAAAGCAGATTCAATGCAATCCCCGTTACAATTCCAACACAATTCTTTACAGACCTTGGAAGAGAAATTCTCAAGTTCACATAGAAAAATGAAAATCTAGGATAGCTAAAACAATTCTGTACAATAAAAGAACTTCTCAAGTTATAACCATCCCTGATTTTAAGTTGTACTACAGAACATTTAAGACACACAGAGACAGACAGGTCAATCAATGGAATAGAATTGAAAACCCAGAAATAAACTAGCATACTTAATGGACACTTGATATTTGACAAAGAGACAATACAGGAGAAAAATAAAAGCATCTTCAACAAATGATGGTGGTTTAACTGGATGTCTGCTTGTAGAAGAATGCAAATATTTCCATATCTACTACCCTGCATAAAACTCAAGTCCAAGTGGATCAAAGACCTCAACATAAAGCTGGACACACTAAATCTAATAAAGGAGAGAGTAAGGAATTGCCTTGAACATACTGGTCAATAGTCAGGCTCTAAGATCAACAATTAATAAATGGGACCTCATGAAACTTCAGAGTTTCTGTAAGGCTAAGGACATCTAATAGGACAAAACAGCAGCCTACAGAATGGGAAAAGATAGGCATAAACCCAAAAGATGCCCCACTAAACTACAAGGAGACTTGCTCAACTATGTTCATAGCAGCTTTATTCATAATAGACAGAAACAGGATATAACCTAGATGTGCCACTGAAGAATAGACAAAGAAAATGTGGTACATCTATACCATGGAATACTATTCAGCTATTAAAAAACAAGTACATCATGAATTTGCAGGCAAATAGATAGAACTAGAAAATATCATCTTGAATGATGTAACCCAGATCCAGAAAGACATATATGATATGTACTCACTTATAAGTGGACATTAAGTATAATGTACAGGATAACCATGCTATCATCCACAAATCCAAAGAAATAAGGAGGGCCCAAGGGAGGATGATTGAATCTACTGTCAGTGTTTTACAAAAGAAAAACCCAACAGAATATTAGCAACTTTAATATTTTAAGAAGATTAAAGAAAGTTAAGTTTTAGTCAAATTGGCATAATTGAGGGATTAAGAGATTTAATTTCAGCCTTGTAGTAAGTAGGGAAAAAAAAAAAGCTTGTGAATGTGCCACAGAGGATGGTGTGGGGTTAATTTAATTTTTACCTAATGGAATGATGTCCTGAAGTATAGTCTAGTTTTCCAAATGTCTGTGTCTGATAGCCATGCATCTCCATGACGTCCATCCATGTTGTATAATTTGGATCCAGACCCTTAAAATTATTCCAAGATTCTGTTAAGTGAGTGAAGAGGCCACTCCACATTGCTGGGGGTTAAAAAAGAGAAATAAAAGAATAAAAATAAAATAAATAAAGATAAAAAACTGAAAAATAAAAAAATGTAAAAATAAAAGAAATAAAGGACCGATGACAGTAAAACTTAACAATTCAAGTTTTAAAGGAATCACTCAGAGAGTGTGGCTGGCCGTTTTAGAGTCTGTGATCTGGAATAAGAAATGCCACCAGCTGGGGTAGTTCACAGACAGTCCTCACTGCTACTTTACTTAAAACCCTGCAAGGAGTTAGCACATCTATTCTTCATATAGACCCACCAAGATCTAGAGGTTAAGTTGATTAAGGTATTTGTTGTATTTGTGGCTGGATTATATATAGGGCTTGAACATCATTAGTATTTTTTCAGTCATAAAAGGTATCTGTAAGTATTTTTTCCCTAAGTTTTTAAACCGTAAGTTAGTGCACTGACAATTATAGACCTTGATTCCTTTGTATTCTCAAGGGCTTTCCTAGTAATTATCTTTTTGCTACATTTTTCTAAGAAAAGGAAAGAAAAAAGGATGATATATGTTCCCTATCATTTTCTAAATGTTTAATAAATGTTTCTTTTCCTTTTCTCATTCTGTGTTCAGACACAGTAGACTGGATAGGCCTTCTTTTCTGTGTGTATGCATGTGCATGTCTAGGTGTCTTCCTAAATAGTCTCTGAGAAAAAGTGCCTCTCCCTCCCTCCCCCCTTCCTCCCTCCCTCCCCCCTTCCTCCCTCCCCCCCTTCCCTCCTTCCCTCCCC